GCATCAGATCCCCCCTGGAAGTGGAGATACGGACGGTTGTTAGCTGCCACATGGGTGCTGGGATTCTGTTTTATTTTATGTTTTGCCCACATTTACATAAGTGCATCCATGTGTGTAATGCCTATAGAGGCCAGTAGAGGGCACAAGATCCTTTATCTTCCCACCCAAAAGTTTGCAGGTGTGCTTATCCTCCTTTTCTGTCCAAAGCATTCCTTCCAGTATTAACTGCAGGAATGGTAGAGGCCATCAGATCCCCTGGAACTGGAGTTATGGACAGTTGTTAGCTGCCATGTGGGTGCCGGGATTTGAACCTGGGTCTTCTGCAAGAACAACCAGTGTTCTTAACTGCTGAGCCATTTCTCCAGCCCCTTTGGTTTTCTTTTAAGACAGTGGCAAAGTGAGATGAATCGTGATGACCTCTGTTCTTTTTGGCCCTTAGATATTTTGTAAAAAATGATGTTTTTTAGAGGGTTTTTTTGTTGTTGTTCTTTTTACTGAAAATAGATTCCTTATTGAATAGAATTCTCATTTAAAGTGGTCCTTGATTCCTAGCAGTACAAAATTAAGCAAATCTTCATGACTCGTTCATTTTTTTCCTCATTTTTCTTATAAAGCACTTGAGTAAAAATCCACTTTTGAATGATGTTGTGTTTACAGATACTGGCTATAAATATCTGATACATTGCGTTTGGAATTGATGGTCCGAGGATTATCCACAGGAACCTTGCCTGGCTGCATGCTCAGTGACCAAAATCTTACCTGCTCATCAGCTCACATTTCCATGGAAGTGTTGAGATAAAGTGTTTCACAGCCAGAGTTCTCCATTGAATAATGCATCAAGAATTGAACAAATTTGGAAATCAGATAGCAATAAAGCGCTTACACTCTGTAATAGGAATTCCAAGCACAGTCTCTACTTCATGAACTTATGCTCAAAGATGCATTATAAACTGATTAAGAAGCAATGCCCACTTTTCTCATTGGAGGTGAATAGTGAATAAGCTACAAAGCTGATGTGAGATTGAAGCAGGGGTGATGGAGTCTCACAGCCCTGTAGCAGCAGACCTGATCTAGGCACTACTACTACATTAGGGCTGGGAGATAAGGCAGTAGCTGGCACTTTTTCCTGCTGTAGATGAAGACGTAGGAAGGAGGCTAGAAATAAATGTTCATGATCTAAAATGATCTCACTGGTCTTTCTTTTGTGGGATTGCAGTAGTTTAGTACAACTAAGTGAAATTTCTAGTCAGGTAGTCATATCCTAATATGGATGCATTGTTTATTAGTAGGGATTCTTATATTTGAGATTTCAAAATATAATGGACTGGTTAGAAAAGCTCAGAATTCAGTGCCTGATGAGAAAGGCTCTAGGCTATGCTGTGCACTGAACTGTCCCCCTTCAGTGACTCCCAGATATGTAGATGACATCTGCCTTTCGTAGATGAAGACAGAGGTCTGCCCAGAAGAGCCTTTGCACTTAGTAATCTTGTTCCTGTGCATAAGTTATTTTGGTACATTTTGAAAAATTGATAAAGGGTCTCACTATGTCATCCCAACTGGTCTGGAACTCACTGTGTAGACTAGACTGGCCTCAAACTCAGAGATCTGCCTGCATCTGACTCCTGAATGTTGGGATTAAAGGTACACGCCTCCATGCCCGTACCTTTTGTAGCATGGATTTAACTGCTACTAAATCCATGCAGTAGCTCAGTGCATAAGGCATAGCTCAGTGATTTAGTGTTTGTCCAGCGTGTGCAAAGCCCTGGGTTCTGTCAGCAGCACCATAAGATGAATAAATAATAAAGAAATTAAAAGTAAATAAACTCAGCTGTTATATAAAGACATGAATGAGTCTTGGTGATGGACTGAACTCAGGTAGGAAGTATGACCCACTTTTCTTCCTCTTTAGCTGTCCTAAACACCCCTCTTCTCCAGCTGTTGTCTTTAAACCAGAAACATTGACCTGACCTGGTAGCTGGGTTTGGTGTCTGCAGCGGGTTCTAGAATCTCTTTCCTGTGGATCTGAGGGACAAGTGTGTGCTGAATTAATGGTTTCTTAAAAACATTTTTTAATTGAATTTTTGTGTATTTCATGCAGAAAACCATCTTCCCCCTTCCCCTTTGGCACACTCCCATAGGGCCTCCCTCCACCGGAGTTGGAGTTCATACAGTCTGTCATTTTTGTTAAGACCTATCATGTAAAGTTAGTGTCCCCAAATGTCCCTCAGTGCAAGTTCATCCACAGAGGTTTAGTCAGCCTATCTAGAGTCCTTCCCCTCAAGAAGATCAGCTCTTCCTTACCCAGCAGTAATCAGCTGCCAATAATTTTTCGACCAAGAGTGGGGCCTGCTATTCATCTCCACAGTTCTGTGCTGGGTTTTTGTCTGCCTAAGTTTGCATGGGTCTTATGCATGCTGACACCATTACTGTAGGTTTGTATGAGGAGGGTCCCAGACAACTGTAGGATGATTTCCGTATGGTCATGCACCTCTTCCCTGGCTCTTACAATCTTTCTGCCCCCTCTTCTGCAATGGTCCCTGAGCCCTGGGTGGGTGGACCTCAATATAGGAGTTAATGGTTTATTTTTTTAAATTTGTTTTTATTGAATTTTTGTGTATTTCATACAGAACATCTCAACCAACCTTAATCATCTTCATACCCCCTTCCCCATCGTCACAGAGTGACCCTCTTTTAGATGAGTATGAATAATTGACCATGGTGATTCTACTTCAGAATAAAAACCTTTGGTTCATTTTTACTATTTCTAATAAAGTAAAAGTTAGTGTGAATTTCCCTCACTATCTCCATCCCCTTATCTTTGGTCTTCTGGCATAACCCGGACCCCTTTCCTCCCTAGCCCTGCACCTTCATGATGTGAGTTCCTTAAACATACCTAGCATTCTGCCCAAGCTAGAAATGTTCACAGCTAGGAGTCATATGCCAGTTGTGTGTGTGTGTGTGTGTGTGTGTGTGTGTGTGCGCGCGCGCGCGTGCGTGTGTGTGTGTGTGTGTGTGTGTGTGTGTAACATAGATGGAATCTTAGATTCAAATGTATAATCAAGAAATCTTACAAGGCGCTTTCTACAGTTTTATCTTAGAATATGAACTTCCTTGCTTTCTTTGCTAATAACTGATAGGTGTTTTAACTACCGGTACTGTTTTGTGTTGTTTATCAGGGTACCTCAGGCTGCTGTAGTTTTGAGTTGTCAGCCTGGGTTTTATTCTGTCACTCTGGGGTTGGCTTTCTCAGATCTTACAGCAATCTACATCCTGTCTGTGCCGTGTGGTGTGCTGTCTCCTGAGCTTTTGTCCCACTACTTTGGTGCTTCTGACTTGTGCATTTGGAGTCTGCTAGATGATCTTGCTAGAATACACTTAAGAACAGATTTAGAAACTGGGTGTGGTGGCACACACCTCTAATCTCAGCACTTGGGAGGTGTTGGCAGAAGGATCATAAGTTCAAGGTCATCCTCAGCTACATAGTGAGTTTAAGGCTGGTCTGGGTTACATCAGACCCTGTTTCAAAAAACATAAATAAATAAATAACTAAACAAACAAACAAACAAACAAATAAATAAATAAATAAAAGGCTCAGCATTATGCCTTCAGAGCATGGGCTATTAGCCTGTGTTTTCAGTTTGGCTTGTTTCCTTGTTCATTTCTGCTGTGTGCTTCATGCTGGGGACATATGTAGGAGAAGTGAACGTTCTTCCTCTTCCAGAAATCTCTTCTGAGGACAGAGATATAAGACTGTTGTCCCTCAGTATCCATAGACAGTTTGATCCGGGACACCCCCAATACCAAATTCCATGGATGTTTAAGTCTTTTATGTAAAATGGGAATTTCTTTCTTTTGGTCTTTTCTTTTTTTAAATTTATTATTTTATTTTATGTGTATGCATGTGTTGCCTGCATGTAGGTAAGTGCACCTGTGTCATGCAATGCCTGTGGAGGTCAGAAGAGGCTGTTGGATCCCCTGGGACTGTAGTTACGGACAGTTGTTAGCTGCCATGTGGGTGCTGGGATTCGAACCCCGGTCTTCTGCAAGAACAACCAGTGTTCTTGACTGCTGAGCCATCTCTCCAGCCCCTCTTTTGGTCTTTTTGAGACAGGGTCTGCCTGTAGACCCAGCTGGCCTGGAACTCCCTATGTAGATCAGGCTGGCCTTGAACTCACGGAGATCCGCCTGTCTCTGTCTCCCAAGTGCTGGGACTAAAGGTGTGCGCCACCATGCCCAGCATGTAAAAAAAAATGGAAATTTCTTGTAGATAGAGTCTACACACCCTCTCCATGTCCTTTAAATATATCTAGATGACTTAATATTCCTGGAGTAGTGTGAATGTTGAGGAAGCAGTCATTATAGTGTGTTGTTTAGGAAATAGTAATGAGGAAACAAGCCTGTACATGTTCAGTACAGATACAGTTTCCTTTTCAAATATTTTTAATTTCATAGATGCAGAACCCTCGGACAGAAGGGCAGTGTGACAGTATGAGTTGAAGCAGAGAAAATATGATATGATTATAAACACCACACTGTGAGCTCAGAGGCAGAAAAGCTGTTCAAAATTTGACCCAACTCAATGGAAGTTAAAGGTGTGGCCGAATGAGCTGGGAAGACAGATCACTCATGGAAAGGCTGCAAGAAGGGAAAGGTACCAGGCAAGCCAAGCAAAGGTGGCCAAGTGAAGGGTGCCCGGGAGGAATGGAAATCATTTAGGTGTGGCTAAAGTGTAGCATATCAGTGTTGCATGTCAGAGGGACACATTGAATAACGCACATGCATTGTCCTTAGCACCCAGCTCCCAGATGGGGGGTAAAATGGTCCTGCTCACACCATGAGAAAGTGAGTGTGCATATCAGAGTTTGCACACAGAAACCACCCTGGAAGCTTCTCTGATCATTTGTGACTGTCTTCAAAGTACACAGTATTTGAGGTCACTTTGTTGTTATTTAAGATTTACTTGTATAACTAATAGTAGTGCTTTTCTTTGTGCTTAACAGTACGGCAAAGTACAGCGTGTTGACATTTCTACCTCGATTCTTGTATGAGCAGATTAGGAGAGCTGCTAACGCCTTCTTCCTCTTCATTGCCTTATTACAGGTATGCTCTGTTTGTTTCACTTATGTAAAAATGTTCAAACCCAATGACAGGCAAGCTGAGGGTTTGCTAGCAAGTTCCTTAATTGGAGAGTGTTAGAATATTACATCTAATTGTTCACCTCATCAGATCATTCCCAGTGTGAACAGATGTGTTCTTTGTATAAAATTAACTTTGGGGGAGTGCCTGGAGGAAGGTTACCATTACCAAAGTGGGCAGAAAATGGTTCTCAGGGACCACTGTTTTTTCTTTTTTTATCGATGTATATTCATTGTACCGAATACTGAGCTTTACTGTGACACTTCACATTATATGTCATGTCCTTTGGTCATGAAGGTCAGACTTTTAACCCTTTCTGTTCCAAATACGTGGCCAATGTTAGATAATTCTTTAATGTAAAACAAATAGTTTCAAAATTAGGAAATAATTTTTTTGTGCGTGTGGCAGAAATGGGACAGAACAGTGAGCATGAGGGTCGAGTGCTATGCTTCTCTTCTTCGGGGAGATTTTCATGTGTGATCTTTTCTCTTACAGCAAATTCCAGACGTATCTCCAACAGGACGATATACCACCCTGGTGCCATTGATCATTATTTTAACAATTGCAGGCATCAAAGAGATTGTTGAAGATTTTGTAAGTTTTTGTTTCTGGGTAATAGAGCATCATGTGGAATACAGCATGGAATGTCATGTGGTTCTGGATGATGGGGCTGTGAGTGGAAAGTGGGCAATTGCTTAACAGCCCTAGACTAGTGATGGTGTTTTCTGGGGAAGGAAAGGAGTGCCGAGTGGGCTGAACGCCTGTGCTGATTCTGAGGCAGGTCTAACTTTGGTTTGGTTTGCTTTGTTGGGCGCTCTGATGTTTATTACTATTGTTTCTAATGTCCTTCCTTAGAGCTTGATGATTCAGGTAGCAGTGAAACACCATGGCTCTGACTAGGAGAGCAGAAATGTGCTTGCTATGCCTGAAGTCCTCCAAGAATCTTCCTCCTCACACCTCCTGTCATACCTGCCCTCACACCTCATTGGCTACAACCATGTTGCTCTCAGCTCCCTTCCTTCCTCCCTCCTACTTCTCTCTCTCTCTCTCTCTCTCTCTCTCTCTTTCTCTCTCTGTCTCTCTTTTTCTCTGTCTCTGTCTCTGTCTCTCTCTCTCCACACACACACACACACACACACACACACACCACATTTTATTGAATAGTAAATAAACTAAGCTGAGAATGAAACCTGCTGTTTGTTGTTGGAGTTATAACACTGAACCATTATTTCAGGCTGTCCACAAACAACTCTGAGTTTCATACTTTAAAGTGCTGGTGACATCTTGATTGAGTTAATGATGACAGATGGCAGATTCATCCAGCTGAAAGCTACAGCACTGGCATTGTTAGTTTCTTGAGTCCCATTTCCCCCCTGATCGTGCTGCACTGTTTCAATTATTCATTTGGAACATTTGAATGTAAGAACCTTTGTTTTCTTTCTGTAACAGAAACGACATAAGGCAGACAATGCAGTTAACAAAAAGAAAACAATAGGTAAGATGCTGACTCAATCACTTTTTCCATTATTAACTTGGACTTCTGTTTAAGTGATTTTCAATGAGTAGTTAATAATATCAAGATTAAAATGGGAACATAACTTATAAGATATTTAAAGAAACAAGATATAAACAGGACTTATGTACTCTAGAATTTTAGAAAATATAATTTTCAGGAACTATTTAATTTATATGGACCCAAAAGTTTCACATATCTACAGCCTTCATTTATGACTCACTTTTCCTTTTATTTTGATTTAACGTTGATGGTGGGGTTTTTGTTGTTGTTGTAAATATATAATATCAGACTTTTTCTACTTCCTGGATGGATATAAATTGGGTTTACTTATATGCATACATAAACATTTTTGTGTGTGCATTGACTGATGCATGTTACAGAGGTGCACTCCATTTTGGGGGTTGTTGTCTTTTATCTTTCTCTCTAAGGGTAGGATATGTTAGAGTTAACAAGAACAAGTTTAAAAGAAGCCTTTTGGAGTTGTAGAAAACTGACTTAATTTTTATTATGGCCAGTATTAACTAGTTCATTCTTTTTTTTTACAGTGTTAAGAAATGGTATGTGGCATACTATTGTGTGGAAAGAGGTAAGAGCTAATTTTAAAGATAATACCATAAAGTATTGGTTTGAAGACTTGTAACTAATTGCTGATACTGATGACAATATAAAGTTTTCTTTAAGGCCAAGGCCATGTTATTTTATCTACATTTATCCAGGACATCCACTTTCCCATGAGAACTGACATGTGTTTCCTCCACCCTGGTCTTTTTTCTAGAGGGTCTAGCATGGCATTTTAAACTATGAGCTTCCCTTTTCATAAAGGATAGTTCTGAAACCACAAAGCAATTCCTAGTTTATAAATCCAGAAGTGTGAGATCTGGGGGTTCAAGGATGACTGCTGTTACTCTGGCTGTTGGTCACACTGAGTAGGAAATTGAGAAGAAATTCGCAGTGTCATCTAGGCATTTTGGATGTGATAAACCAGCTTTTCATCCCCAGCTGTTTTAGGTTGTTAATGGACACATATTGACTTTACTGATACCTTTCATTTTCCAGTGTTCAGAATGGATGGTTTCTTAGAAAAAACAGTGTTTTAGAAAGGCAACTTCAAATATTTTTTCTTGCTTACACATCTAGCTAATGGTATTTTGAAGTGCCTCCTGGGGCCTTTTGTATCTGTGGCTTTCACTTTGGTGTTTGGTTTGCTTTACTTGGTTTAGGGGGAAACCACCACCCTTTAAAGAAGATACCCCCATTACAGAATTTAAACACTTTAACCCTTGTAGCCATCTGGAAGTCCCAAGGTAAGCGGCATTCCCTGGCATCCCTCTCCTCTGAAGTGAAGTATGATGGTTCCTGGTCAAGAGGCAGAATTGTGGGGGGAGAACTGCTGCCCAACTTATAGGAAGCAAAGAGTTCTCCAAGCTCCAGGGATTTGCCCCTGTCCGTCTAGGGGTCTTCTTGCTGAATCCTTCCTCAGAAAGGCACTGGCAGTGGCCAGATGAAGAATGCTTTGAATCCTTATGTCTGATGCTGCTTGAAGCAGTGGATGATGGAGTGGTGATCCCAGATTTCTGGGTCCAAGAACTTACTCCCGGAGTTCCTTCCTGTTCCCCACATATGCTTGGGACATCACCACCTTGTCATATGCCTTGCCAAATGGATGACTATTTCAATTTTAAGTGCATTGTATGAGTCATTTTAAGTGGAGCTGTTAGCAGAGCTGTATCAGTCATGGGCTTATGTGTCTATCCTCACAACTGAACAGGTGTTCTAGGTACTCAGAGCTGGTCATGCACACGTGGGCCTACTCTCAGAGTTCTTGGTACAGAAGGTCTTGCGTTTGCATTTTAACAAGTTCACAGGAGAAACCGCTGGTGGCAGTGCAGGGAACACACTCAGGAACAGGTGTGCTAGAAGCCACAGGCAGCTCACAGCAACACACTGTACCTGCTGAGCCTTACAGGGGTATATGCAGGTGCCTGGGAACCTCTGGGAGGCATAGTGAATCTAGAACCACTGGTCCATGTCAGGAAAGGCTTTTTGTTTAATTTGAGGAGATATTGTTCAACACAGAGTGTGGGAAACACCAAAGTGTCCTGGAGAGCCACACATAGCTATATGCCTATGAACAGATTAAGTGTGGCTGACTGCCAGGCATCTCAGAAAGGTGGATCTCAAAAACTGGAATTAGCTTTGGGAGAATCTTTTACAATTGAGAGACAGGAGGGATTTTCTGTGACTACAGTGATTTCAGGGATCCAGAATGGATCCAAAAGAAAATTATTGGGTTTTGTGGTGGTGGTGGTATTAAGGATGGAACCAGGTCTTATACACACTGGGCAAATGCTCTACCACTGATTCACACAGTATATCTTTTGAAATTCATTGTTTATGAGTAGAACAGAAGACAGAAAGCCAAAGCACCTATCTTGCAGCTTGTAACTATTCTTGCACTTGGAACTTTTTTTCTTTTGGAGAATTCTGACATTGACTTTTACATTACAGACTCACCCCAAGGGAGACTCCTAATGTACCTGTTTCATTCCACAAGCTGTATATACTTTTCTTTAGTTTCAAAAACAAGATAGGAACCAGTGAGATGGCTGAATAGGTAAAGGAACTTACTGCCAAGCCTGAGTTCAGTCTCCAGGACCCATATGGCAGAAAGAGAGAATCAACTCCATGCGTTGTCCCCTGACCACCACATATGCATTGTGGCATGTGTGCTCATACCCATCCTCCCTGCCCCATCACCTCCCTAACACACAAACAAGTAAAATGTAAAGAACCAAACAAAAATCAACAACCAAAAATCCAAGATGGAAAGCAAGGACCAACACCTGAAGTTGTAGAGAACAACTCCAAAGATGAAGTTTTCTTCCCATTATCCACCCATCTAAAGCTCCATACAAGCACCATGGCACGCATGTAACTTCACATACACACACACAAATTAATATTAAAAAACACTAAATACTGTGCAACCCTTCCAAGCCAGTGGTATTGTTTATTTTAGAAGGGAAGACCCTAGAACCTTTATGGGTGAGCAGCTTGCCAAGATTGCAGGGCTCAGAGTGTCTGTGAAGCTTGGATTTGAGTCTATACTTACCCTGTCTGAAAGCCTACATCATCTATAGCTGACAAGTTCTATGATACTATTTAAAGGATTAGAGTTTCTTGGCCATGATGCTGTTTGGAGACTTAACCTCTTTCCTTGACTTGTAGTTTCCACCAAGGGAGTTCTGTTTCTCAAGGTGGTCTCTGGCTTTGGCCATAACTCTTTTTCTAGAAATTTCTTGAGGCTGTACATGGTCTCTCTATTTCATTTGTATATTTCTGGGGTGCCTTTTACATGCATTATTCATAGATTAATTTAGTATAACTTTCTCATCAGAGTAGCCTCCTAACCAGATTGCCCAGGTTTGAAATCATGGCTGTATGGCTGGGGAGATAGCTTGGTACTTACTATGCAAGACTGACAATCTGAAGAAATAGCTCAGTGGGTAAAAGGACTTACTGTGCAAGACTGACAATCTGAGTTCAGATCTTTGAACACATGTAAAAGCCTGATATGGTGGCTGTAATCCCAGCACTCCTATGACTAGATGGGAAGCAGAGACAGAAGAATCCTCTGAGAGCTTGTGGGCCAGCTAGCCTGGAGCATACATGGTACAATATCAAACAACAAGAGAGACTCTGCCTCAAAAACAGGATAGAAGGCAAAGACCAACACCTGAGATACTCTTCTGACCTTCACACATGTGCCATGGCACAAAGACATGTAAACACATATAATAAATAAAATAAATATTTAAAAATAAATAAATCATGGCAGTAACACTCTGACGGTGGGACCTTGGTCAAGTTATTTTGCTTATAAAGCAGAACCAAGCTGTGTTAACTCAGTTGATCCTCTCAGCAGTCCCATGAAGTTTGTTATTGTTCTCCTTACACATGAGGCAAGTTAGACAGTTTCCTTAGCTTTCTCATGGACACACAGCTGGTAAGGGATCTAGGGAGGGATTCAGATCTAGGCATAGAGGCTGACTTTGGAGCTTCATCATAACTGTTCTACCACAAGCAACTTTGGAAATGTTTGAGTATTTGAGAAAGGTGGATAACTGTAAGAAAATGTGATCTTGATATCTGTTCACGTCCCTCTTCTGTTTTTTACTTTTTCACGAACCCTCACTGAAAAAAATGCCATCTGGGACTAGAGAGACAGCTCAGTGGTTAAGGGCGTGTACTGTTCTTGCAGAGAACCTGAATACTCAGGTTCCCACAGCACCCACAGCAGGCAGCTCACAACTGCCTATAACTGGAGTTCCAGGGGTCTGACACCCTCTTCTGACCTCCACAGGCACCTGCACTCACCACACACAGACGTACACAGACTTGTAACAATTAAAAATAAAATAAGGTCACCCCACCATCTTAACTCTCAGGGTCCTTTGGTCAAGGACATCCTTTCCCATACTGGATTTGTGCCCTCTCCCTCAAGTCTTGGCAGGGTGAGTCCCCTCTGCCATCTCAGCCCTCAGGTCAGTTTGGGTATTTGGGATCCTTCCCCACCCCAGACTTGTAGTTCAGAGTTCCAGTTCCTGAGACTTCCCTACACCCTGCCATCTGACCTCTATATGCCCAAGACCTGTGAGCTCTTAGCCTAACCTATCAGCCAACCTCTTCACCTAGCAGCTCCCATCCCATCCTGCTGATCCAGAACCTTGTAGAGTCAATCCTGAAATCGCAACAAAAAATTGCACCTATCTCTAGCTAAACTGAGACCTCTTCTTTCACCCCATTTGCACATCAACATAAAGTGGCCGAACTGAACACCAAGCACTTCTTAGCTTGGATATAACCTGACAAGTTGGGGAAACAGCAAACAAAGATATAAATGTTCAACAAAGATGAGACCACATACCAAGAAACACTACCACACAAGTCTACATGCCTAGGTCTCATCAACCCCCTCCAAACAACGTAAATATAGATACTACTGAAATTAACAACTCCATCTTAATGTTTCCTGAGAATGACAGCCTAATGGATGCATAAGACATGATTTCAGAATAGCGGTTATAAATATGTTCAAGAAACTCAAAGAGGATATAAATAAAAGACTGGATGATGACTAGGAAAACATAAACAGTTGAATGAAACAACTAAAACAATTCAAAACACAAAATTAGAATTCAATAAAGAGACTCTCTTAAGAAAAGCCAAAGTGAAATAAAACTTGAAATAAAAAACTCAGGAACGCAAACAAAAATCTTAGAGAAAAGAAGCTAAAAGGAAGTGGAGGAAATAGGCCAGAGAACAGAAGATTTTAAGGACAAGCTTGAGGAGATGGGTTGCTCAATCAAAGAAAATGTCAAGTCTAAAATAAGCCAGTAACAGAATATGCAAGCCTCTGAGACACTGTGAAAAGACCAAACCTATGAATCACAGGTATAGAAGAAGGAGAAGAAACCCACATCAAAGGCACAGAAAATATTTTTAATAAAATCATAGAAAAAAAATTCCCAAACCTAGGGAGATACCTATCAAGGTACAAGGGGCATGTAGAACACCAAGTAGACACAATCAGAAAAGAAACTCCCACATCATATAATAGTCAAAACACTAAGCGTGCAGAACAAATAAAATATATTGAAAGCCATGAGAAAGATCAAGTCATGTATAAAGGTAGGCCCATCAAAATAACAGCTGACTTTTAAAAAATATTATTTTTATTTTATGTGTATGCGTGTATTGTTTGAATGTATGTGAGTGCACCCATGTCTTGCAATGCCGTGGAAGTCAGAAGAGGGCTTCAGATTTCCCTGGCACTGGAGTTAAAGACAGTTTGTAGCTGCCATGTGGGTGCTTGGAATCAAACCTGGGTCCTCTGCAAGAGCAGTCAGTGCTCTTAATCCCTGAGCCATCTCTCCAGCCCCAACAGCTGACTTTTCAGTGGAGACTATGAAAGCCAGAAAGGCATGGACCAATGTCATACAAGTCATGAAGGAACACAGATTCCATCCCAGACTATTATACCTAGCAAAACTCTCAGTTGTAATTGAAGGGAAAAGAAAAACTTTCCATGATAAAAACATATTTAAGGAATTTACATCCATGAAATTAGCTCTGCAGAGAATAGTTGATGGAATAGTTTGGTCAGAAGAGAAGATTAAACACTCTCAAGAGGATACAAAGAATAAATAAATTATCCAAGAACAGTCAACCAAAAGAGGTCTGAGAAACAACACTACAACACCCACCAACATAACATGAATTAATAAACATTGATCAATAACAATCCTTAATATTAATGCTCTCAACTTCCCAATAAAAAGACACAGACCAGATTAGAAAACAGGACCCATTAATTTGCTGCCTTGGAGAAACACACCTCACCAACAATGATTGACACTACCTTAGGGTAAAAGAATGGAAAAAGTATTCCAAGGAAATGGAACTAAGAAACAAGCAGATATTAGAATATTAGCTATTCTAATATCTGACGAGATAGGTGTCTAACAAAAACTAGTCAGAAAAGACAGGGAAGGTCACTTTATACTCACTAAAGGAAAAATCTACCAGGAAGATATTACAATCCTAAACATTTATGCAGCTCACACAGGAGCATCCAATTTCATAAAACAAATTTTGTTAGCTTTAAAATCTCACATTGACTCCAGCATAGTGATAGTGGGTAACTTCACTATCCCACTGTTGCCAATAGATAGGTCAACTAGGCAATAACTAAATAGAGAAATCCTGGAGTTAAATGATTCCATAAATCAAATGAACCTTACAGATGTCTATAAAACATTCCACCCAAACACCAAGAATGCATTTTCCTCTCAGAAGCCCATGGAACTTTCTCCCAAATCAACCATATATTAGGATACAAAGCAAGTCTTCACAAATATACAGAAATTGAAATATCATGTATTCTATCCGACCACAAAGGAATAAAACTAGATGTCAACAACAATAAAAGTACACAAATTCATGGAAGCCAAACAATACTACTGAATGAAAACTGGACCACTAGAGAAATCAAGAAAGAAATTCAAAAATTCTTAAAATTGAGTGAAAATGAAAACACAACATACCAAAACATTTGGGACACAATGAATGTAGTCCTAAGAGGAAAAATTATTAAGTGCCTACATTAGAAAATTAGGAACATCTCATATGAATAAATTAATGATGTACCTGAAAGCCTTGGAAAACCAAGAACAAACAACATCTAAAAGTACTATATGGGAAGAGATAAAATCAAGGCTGAAATGAATGAAATTGAAATGAAGAAAATGATACAAATAATGAAATGAGTTGGTTCTTGGGAAGAGTTAAATGGGGTTGGTATGGGAGGGCAGAAGAGGGAGCATGAGGAAGGATAACCAGCAGTAAATGGTTTTAGAAAAAGCCATATGGAAATATACCTCTATAGAAGCTTCTTGAAAAAACACACATATACATTATAAAAAGAGATTAAAAGGAGTTACTCTATGACAGGGGTATTGCCCCTATTCGACACCATAGGCTAACAAAATAAAACCCCAATGCCAGGAATGGACTCCCTCTCTTGAAGCTGTTCCCCTGGGGTCCTATAGACTTTCAAACAATACTGGTCATTGCCCCTGCTCTTAATTACCCATGAGAACTTCACAGTTAAGAACCTATTGCTGAAGATACTACATACATGAGCTGTAGAGCAAAGGAGAAATCAAGCTGGTACTGACTCCAAAGTTTCATCTCTACTAGCTTGTGTTTATAGTGCTAATATTCATAGCATGCTACTAGAAGGAAAAATAATCATCTTCCTTCCGCTATGAATCCTGTGAACTCACAGCAATGGTGGCATCATGCATAGATCCCATGCAAGCTCAAACCAGACAAAATCCCAGCGTAAACATTGGGAAGTGAGTAAGAAATCCCAACCCAACCTAAGGAACTTTTGGTAACTGATGAGTGCTGGGATGAGGAGAGACAGGTTCTTTCAAGAATGGGCCTCTTGGTAGGTTAACCAGGCTCCAGTGGATAAGCCCACACTGAAGGACCTTCGGGGTCACAAATTAGACTCTATAAACTTTATTTTATATATATATATA